TAAGTAGTTTCTTTCTACATTCAGACCATCCTGTAGTACTGGCTTTTGCTTTTAAAGTAGTTAAAGATATAACTTTAATTTTCTTTTATTGCACTGTTTTGTATATTAGTGGAAAAGGATGTATTTAATTTTGTTCACAAAATAATGGCAGGAGTGCATACTAAACTATCGGGTAGACACACACACAATGGGTTATTTTATGAAATAATACATGTAATGTGTAATAAAATAAAATGCTTTGGTACCCAAATTTGTGAAAATCCTCCCTATGATTTTTGCAAAGATTAAAAATGATCTTGCTGTTGTCATCAGGAATTGTGACATTTAGATGACAACAGATCTGATGAAAATAAATCAATAAATAAAACATTTCATTAAATTCTACGGGTCGGAGGGCACATTTCCTGTAGTGCAAATTACACAAGCTTTTGTTTAAGCAGTCACAGCAGAATGGTGAAATCATCAGTTAGCTGTTCATTAACTGTCAGCCAGTTACCGCATGTTGACAGGATTTACACCTCGTAGGAGATATCTGAGCACAGATAGCATCATCTGCATACACAAGTCATTAGTCCTTTCTGCTACTGGAGAGAGAAACAATTCATAACAAACCCACATGCGCATTTGCTCATTTAAAGTTTGGCGAAAAACTACAAAGCTGTTTAAACTGAAGGTATAATCTACAGCATCTTCCAGATAAATATGTCTATAATAAATAATATAAAGGTTTTCTTAGTTAAGCATCTCCTATTACAAACTAAAAGTGTGTGGTGGTGTATTCATCTGGAACGCTTGTGGTCTAGGTGTCTACTTAACTTAGCTGAGCTTAACAGAGACACAGAGCAGAGAGGTTAAAGCAGCAGTGTGTGTGTGTGTGTGTGTGTGTGTTTTGAGAAGCAATCATTGTGAAATAAATGATGATAAATAATGAAATGTTTCTATTTCTATATATTTCTCCAGTTTGTTATTTATTGCTGCTGCCTTGCTATTTACATTTTATTCCTACACAGTTGAAGTGGATCAACCATGATTTCATGGTACATGTACAATAACAATAAAGGGCTATTCTATTCTGTGATTCACTGTGTTGTTCTAGCTAACGCTGTCCTTTGTCATCATTCACTTTCCAGTTCTAATAACCATTATATTCTAATAACAATAATAAGCTTTTGTTGGGCCAGGAAGCAGGGCCAAGTTCAAATATTGTGGTCACAAACAGTATCCAACAGTTTTTGTTGATGGGTTTTTCTGTAAAGAAGTTTGCGACCTGTAACGTCATTCAGCTCTTGATTTGATTTTATACCCATCATTAATTTTGAGAAAAATGCTGTAAAAGATAAAGTCATTTCACTGACAACTGAGACAGTCTTCCAGACGGGTTAGTGGCCTGTTTTACTTTGAAGGTTTGTGATTAATGACCTTCCTTCCTTCCTTCCTTCCTTAAACACAGACTTATCTGCAGGTCTGCACTGATTTCAGACAACCTAAATCTTCACCTGCCTGCCTCCCCTGCTTCCTGAACTTTTCTCCCCGCAGTAATCTAAGCCAATAGAATCCCTGGATGATGTGTGTTTTGATTCTCCAAACAGCCAGAAGGCTGTGCAGATATTGTCAGGGAGCTCTAAGGCACAGCACACAGCGGGGCTGGCTCTGCAGAGATTGCACCATAGTGCTTGCTTAAGGCCACAACAGCAGACTGACATTATGCACTCTTTAAGCTTCATTATGTTCATGTGTTGCAACCTTCTGGTGTCCACATGTCATTATAAAGAGCATGAAAATATATTGACCACCTAGACAGGGGCCCGTTTTTGCAGCTTTTAACAGCTTTGTAGGCAAAGCTTTTCACACAGCGTGGCATTGTCTGAGTGCACAGAGAAATTATAAATGTTCTTCTGCGGCTCAATTACTTTCTCTAATACGGTTGCATTCAAAGGGTCTATTTTTGGAGACGATTAAACCAGTATTTCCCCCTCCATCGGTGGGCAGGGCCCCCATACATCTCAACCACCCACAAGCTAATCCTCATCATCAATCAGGCAACATTGTTACAAGGAGGGTGTGTTATTGAAATTAATTAAAAACTGTTTTGCCCTCAAAGCAAATGTATTTCCAATACTCTAACATATTTACAGAAGCGTAACTTTCAATATAATGCTAATGTCACTGTTCTGCACTCTTGTTCACCGATATGAAACACAAAAATAAACAGCAGAAATGCATTTTTAAGTAAAAACTGTACACTCTTCTATCAAGCCAGCCATGTTCTAGGATTCTAGGGTTCTCGATAGAATAAACAATATCTGGAATCAACGTGTGTGTGATAAGAAAGGTGGTAACTTCTAAAAGTACTTTTATTGCACCATGTTCATTCACTCATGAGCTTCTGTAACATGAATCAAATGGCTGAACTGCCACCTCAGCATACAGTCAAGTTCTGTGGAGTCTTCTTAATGACCTACTAATTTTATTCAGGTGTGCTGCAGCAGGGACACATTAAAAAGTTTCAGGACACTGGCCCTCCGGGACTGGAGTTTGACACCCCTGCCTTAACCAGAACTTGTATAAAAAAAGAATAAAATTGTCACTATAGCTATCTTAAAAAATAATAATTATTGTTATCTGGTCAGATCATATATCATAACGATTTCTGCCTTCCTTTCCTGACCTTTTGCCTGACATCCAACATCTGTGCAGACGTCATCTCTCTTATTGAAATGTTGAGCAAAATTGAACTCTATTTATTTGACACAATAGTCACCCACAATTTGTTAGCCTTGATTGTATTTTTCATTTATTTTCCATGTTCCACCCTCATGCTGGATCATCCTTCAAACAGGATAATGTGGGAAGGATGCAGCTTAATGTCTCATATAGAAACTGTGGCCTCAATCTGAGACTTCTTTTCATCCCTGGAAAATAAATCTCTGTACTTGGTCTTGGCTTCGTCAAAGAATCCAACAACAAAGCCGCAAGAGGAACGTGTTTGTGTACGTGCATGCTAGAGGATGACGTAGTCAGAACGTCCTGTACCGACTTCACAATTGTAACACATACTGATCTTTTCAGCTCTGGATCAGGACTCTGAATTTGCATCATCCTAAACTGTATGCAGATGTATGAGCATCTATTCTCTTTTGCTGCAGTTTCTTGTGAGGAATGTTGCATGGAGCGTGAAATAGTTTCATAAAGCTTTAGGGAGGAGGTGTGTTTGATTCATAACTATTTCACATCTGAAATGGGGTGTACTTTCAACCGTAGCTATTTTTTTTCATGCCATCTGTTGTTTAGATGCCAAAATGTAGGAATCTGCATATCTCAAAACTAATGAGAAACTAATGGGCCATCACCAAAAGTCTATAAATGTGAGCTGTGACATTATGTGGAAGCAAATGATCTTGCATGCGCTGGTATGTTTTGTTTCCCATTACACAAATGCCTTTTTCTTTCTCAATAAGTGGAGATTCTTTTCCCACCCACTCAACTTGAAAACCAATTCTACCTGTACAAAGACTGCTGTACCATATAAATGAAGTCTTACTCATATGTATTTTAAAGTAAATCCTGTTTTTATCTGCATGTTTGTTGGCAAATTTCATCATCCAGTGACAGAAAATTTACAGAAGTTCCACACAGTTGGACTTAGGCGCCCAAAAATATACAGGATGAGGTGTCTTGGTGATATTAGTTGTATTACTTGTATCACTATGAGTTTGCTATGAGAAATTTCCATCTCAGTAGTTAGAAACTGTTCAACGGTTAATAATGCTTGTGCTTTCACTGAGGATTAGAGGATATTGAATCTGTTTTAAGAGTGATACCAATATCTAAAACGGTGATACTGATTGTTTTTTTCTTTCTCACAAACAAAATATAAACAGATATTGCTAATATCTGTTTTGTTTGGTTATTTAGTTACTCATTTAACCATTTGCCTGACTCTGCATGGATCAGCTGGTTGCTATCTTTTTAAATGTTCATTTTTGGGCTATTATATATGCCGATACCAAAAGACAAATGGCTAATATCTAACCTAAGTTGGTCAGGTTTTAACTTTAGTCTTCAACCAAAAACTGGTTAGCACATAAAACAGAGTTCTGTCAAATAGAATCAAAGCTTGCCTACTTACCATGGAAGCTTCATTCTGGCACTAAAAAAGTAAACAAACATTTTTTCTCATTCACAAGTCAACACAAATTCCAACTTGGTAGCTTGAAATTTATTTAAGTTATTTTCTCCATTTGGAGTGTTTTTTGTTTTTGTTTTAGCTTTTTAAATTTTTTCTTTGCATTTCAAAATTTTGAGATCTTAACTCAAAATTTTCAGATGCAGCGAAAACTTTTAGCAACAAAAATTTTTGTCTTGTGGGTTGAAAAAAATTACCTCAGAAAATTAAGTAACAAAAAGATCCACTCCACTTTCAACAACAGAAAAATGTGATTGGAACATGTGTAGGGTTCACCACACAGCATAAGGACTCACTTCCTTCAACTGACTTCTGTGTCATTTCCTGAACCAGCACAACCCCAACCTAGCTTATCTCAATCATCCACGCCACAACTGATACCTCTGACTCCACATACTTCATGTTTATTATTTTTACTTTTATTTTTACTATTGTAAACAAAGTCACAATTGGCATAACAACCCATCTTGTCATTGGCTATGAGTTGTGACAAAAATATAGCTTTTCAGTTAATGAAGTGCTTGTGGGCTTTTGTGCAGGTAGATTAGCTGTTAGTCTCTACAGTTCTCCAGGCTGTATACTAACTGATTGTTGTCAATAGCCTTAAATTTTGCAAAGCATAACAGTGGCATCAGTCTTTGTCTGCATTTTGATGCATCTGTCTGCATCAAAAATCAAAAGGAATCAATTCCAGTGTTTTCTCAAACCACCTGTTTACTGCTACATCGCCACTGAAACTATACAGTCTGCCCATATACGTCATGAAATGTTAAATGGCTACATGTTTTAACATTAACTGCTGTTTTCTGTGCAGACAGACTGTTCTACCGACAGCGAGAGTGAAGACAACTTCATAGTTGTCCCTCCACGAGATCATCTCGGCCTGGCCATATTCTCCATGCTCTGCTGTTTCTGGCCTTTGGGGATTGCAGCATTTTACTTCTCACAAGGGGTGAGGCCACACATACACATATTACCACAGGCATGCAATGCATACCCTTTCAAAGTTGTGGTCTGTCACACATGAATGATGCAGCATCTGTTTGTCAAGGTCTAGCATGCCCCCACCCCCCCTCCCCCAATCACTCATACACATGCTTCTATAAATTCGTAGAGATGGGAACACACAAACATGCAAACACACACATCTATCTTTATTTTTCTTTACTCATTACCAAAACATTAAGAGCCTTCGCTCTTAAAAAAGGACTGACAGCTGACTCTCTTACTGCAAGGCCAATTTTTACTGAGCTACGCATCAATAACTCAAGGCCAATCTGTAATGGCTGCTTGATGCTCTGTAAACAGGCTGAGAGCCTCCTTTAGGAAGAGTCTATAAATCACTTCCAAGGTTCTATCTGTAAATGCCAAGAAAGATTGTATTCAAAATAATAAGATGAGAGAGGGGATCTCTGAACGTGTAGACTTTTCAAGAGGACTGAAGATGAACCCAATTAAAGGTGGGCTGATGTATTAAAGATGGTGAGCCCTTGGGAAAGATGAGGCGTAATTATTTTGCAGACACACTGGCATTCTTTGGGCTGATGTGCTAAAAATGAATCGTTTTTTATTGCAGTCCAGCATAAAAAATACTAAAAATGACCCTTAACAACGTAATCTGAAGCAAGAAGCTTTACCAATATTTTATTTTCAGTAACGTCTGCAATCACAACATAATAGGTATCTAATAGATTCCAGACAGACTTCCTCCCTCTTTTCAGTTCTCTTTGAAATGACTCTGATGATGTTATGTCAACCAAAGAGCACAGGGAGTGCCTCTTGTCTTGCCGCTAATCAAGTCTGTCCTGTGAATCATCAGCATAATAAAGACAACACATTAAAAGGCTATCAGCACAAGCGTACACGCGCATGCACACACACACACAGCATGTCCGAAAATGCATGTAAACACACGCGCTGCACACACAAACACACAAACGGGCTAGAGACAGACAAGCTTTTCATTAAATTGCCCTGCGTCTGACCACAAATTCTTATCAAAAGCTCAAGCATTTAGCTGCCTTATCTTGGGCGCAAGTAGTCTAAGCCCGTCAGTGAATTATCTTGTCAGGAGCTAATTTGATTCTTCCTGGGTAATTATGGGGAAGTGATGGCTGTGTTTAGGGATGGATGATTTTTCTGCCAATCTCCCCCCTTTAGAAGGTGCTTTCCTGAAGAGCTGTCAGGATTTCAAAGATATGGAGGAAGTTTGGGATCACTTAATTTTATAGTTCAATAACCCACTTCACTGGTCTTCGTTTCATGCCGTTATTCAGAAGGACCAACCTGAAAGTGGTGATTCTATAGGAGCTAGCAGAGCACATGTCTGATTATGCTTACCGATGCATTTTGCACTGCACTGGTGGCCAATAATGGCAATATCAACTCAGCATGTAGGTAAAATCAGAATCTTTATCAGCTTTTACTTCATAAAAATATTATGGCTGAGGAATATATGACTCATTAAAAGAAGCTGACACAAACCATAACTAGCTGAAGCTGAGTCAGATTTCCTTTTTGGATTGGATGTTATCTAATATAATTAAAGGATAATTTTGATTTTCTGTGTTTTTGTTTTAGACATAGGTGCAAATAGCAAGATTAGCAACTGGTCTTCCTAAGCTGTGCAATCATCGCACAATCAATAGTATCATTCTGACTTTGTTAATCTCAGAATCCTACCCTTAGTGATACCAACATCCCAATCCTGCGAGCATTCAAGCGAACCCTGTTTCAATTTCCAAACCTAACCAAACAGCGATGCAAGCAAAGCAAAGAGCAAAACAAAGTTCCTAAATTCAAAGCCATGTTCTTCTGGCTGATTATTCCACTGCCACTCCAAATGAGTACTTTGTAGATCTCAAAAATAAGACAGCTATTTTTCCAAATCTAATATTTCCATGGCACGCACCCTGTGTGCATCTCTGCCTGCGTCATTTGCCAGAACAGCAGTAAGTGATGCCCTGGGATGAGAATGTGCTGTCCAGAACTGATGAGAGAAAACAATAAACAGATGTTGCATTGTTGCCTAGGGATGGGTATCGAAAACCGGTTCTTGTTGAGAACCGGTTCCCACTGTTTCAATTC